TTCGATCGAACCACATACATGTCTTTAGTATCATATGACATGGTGACACCGTTCATTTGCAAAGATGGATCCACAAGAATATTATTTTTATCCCTTTGTCTTTTAGGTTCTTCAATTCCCCTTTTCTCTCCTCTTTGGAGAGGAAAGGGACCTAGAGAGAAACCAAAAACTATTTTTTTTGCATAGTTATTAAGTGTACCTATTTATAGATCAATGAATGAGGCTTCGGTGGATGATTTTCTTATAATCTTACTTCTTGACAATTTTACAGCACATAAATATTTATTTTTATTATTATTCTATTATTATTTGCATTATTATTACTATTATTATCATCATCATCATCGCCATCATCGTAATTATTTTTAGACAATAATAATAATAACAATGCTAATTATAAGAATGCATGGTAGTGTTTCTTTATTAGTCAACTTCTAATATTGAGTTGATTCCTATTTATGTTAGGAATGTTAGCTTTGATTTGGTAAATCTCGTATTTTAATGTTAACAAATACTCCGTAATATATTAGTTAACTTTTGTTTGAGTATTTCAGGAACAACAAGAATCTATTATTTGACGTTCTCAAAAACGATGTTGAAACATTAAACTAACATAAAATATAGGTAAAATTAAATGTAAGAATATGATTTTATATGCCTATACTCACAAGCTCAAATGCACTCACAAAATTTGTTTAAAACATTCTAATAATCATTTTCAAACATTCAAATTTTTTAAAACTCAACAAAAAAAGATTTAGCCCAAATTGGAAAAGCAGCACAGTGAAGCGGTACCTTATCTGATACCTCAGTACCGCCTAAACGGTACCTCTATATCGTGATCTCGCAGCTCGCTACCATTTAAATCAGAGGCTGCCATAATTTTTTTGTCTGAGATAGTACTCACTATCGTGTAAACGGTACCAACCTATTGTTACTCCGGTACCCACATACCATTAGTCTGGTACCCAGTTATAGTTGGAAGACTTTCAAAATCCCGCTTTTGAATTTAATCAAATTTGATCAACCATTATTACTCTTAATTAATCCGCAATGGTCATAAGTAGACACATCATTTTTTATAATAAATATGGCTATATTCCTTATTTTTACAAGAATTAAGCTCTAATCTCTCATCTTTATATTCAAAGTGTGTTCATATTTTTGTTCTTCAATTTTCATATTTTGGCTTCTTAAAGTCTTGCTTTTCTCTTGATTTTATACACACACATTGAACTTGTGATTATACATTTATACTCTCATATTTAAAAGATTGATCTTGTATTATTTTAGAGAGTATAATCTTTGTTCTCACCGGTCAAAGATTGATCTTTTTCTTTATCATAGGCCAAAACGCGCGTGTTTATGATTTTTAATTGTTTTTAGACAGATCTTCCACTCATTTTAATGGTCGAGCATAGCCGTATAAATCTTTGTATAGACAGTTAAGGATAGTCGTGAAATCCTTAGGTATGGTAAAAGGTTCAAGGATAGTCTTTAGATCCTTGGGTTAAAAGGTTGAAGATAGACTCCAAATCTTTGTTGTAATCGGTTCGAGATAACCATTGTGAAATCTCAGAATGAATCTTATTGGCAAGGATTGTTTGCCAAAACTAGTGTGGTGCTTCATTGCTTTGACGAAGTTTAAGATACCGGGATTTAGTAGATTCCGAAATCACCAAGGAAGAGTCATAAAGTACTAGAGTAGAGATTTCATGAACCAGTATAAATTGGCATGTCATTTATTTTACGCTTTTAATTTTCTATGTTTTTACATGAATTCCAGATTTGCCAACATCTATTTTATTAAACTCTGAAAAAGTTTTTAAACACCTTATTCACCCCCTCTAAGGCATGGACACACAGAATAACAAGGAATACTTCATGTATATACTCTCTTGTATCCTTTATTATTATTAAGAAAATCTATTACTCCATTATTCAACATGGTATTATTAGAGCCACCGCTTTTGATGACTTAAAGTTTCTATCTTAGCTCCTAGCCAGCGGGCGCCATCATTAGTCGTCTGTCGGCATTTGTCCTCACCTCTACTTCTTCCTCCCTTCTTCCTATCATTTATAAGCCATCCATAACCCCAAACCTCAAAATTGTTGTCTTCACCAAGTTCGTACGTGTGATTAGATAATTGGAACATTATATTTCTCTGTATTTCGTTTAGAGTTTGAGAGTATAAAATTAAAAGTGATAAAAAAGCAGAGAATGGCCCACAAGAAAAAAAAGAAACTCCTCGCCTTAGATCCAATAATCAACACTCTCCGCGAGAAAAAATCTCAGCAACACACTCTCAAACTTGATCGTCATGCAGCAAAGACCTGTCTCTCTACTTCTTGCAGACTTACCCAAGAAAGTATTGTCTTCTATGTGGTTTAGGGATCTTGTATCTAAGCGTCCTCTCGTCTCACGGTGTTCAGATTGAGGGGATGTTGGACAATTATTATTATTATTATTATTATTATTATTATTATTATTATTATCATCATCATCATCATCATCATCGTCGTCGTCTCCCTTCTTTTAACAACAAGTCTTGCTGTCATAATATGACAACAAGGCCTACGGTGTTCCGTTTAAAAAGTTGATGGTTCCTACCCCCTAGCTCTCCCTGCGCCCTCCCCAACACCCTTCATCCCTTTCCCCAAATCGCTAACTGTAGCCCATCGGCGATTTGGGGAGGAGTTGTTGTGGTGAGGGACATGGAATATGAACCATCAATTTTTCGAACAGAGCATCGTATGCCATTATTGTCATATTATGACAGGAAATATTGTTGTCAAAAGAAGGGAGTCCTATTATTATTAATTATGGTAGTATTATTTTATTAGTCAAATTTCATTATTGGGTTGATTCCAACTTGTGTTATGAATGCTTCTTATATCTACTCTCTTCGTTCACAAAATACACAACCTTACCATTTGTGCACCTCACTAAATGAATAAAATGGTGTTGAATAATTAAAAAGTGAACATTTCAATACACAAATGGTAAGTTTGTGTATTTTGTGATCGAAATGTTTGTGACTCTAACATTTCTCCTCTTGAATATCCTCTATTATTATTATTAAGTAAACTTATGATTCTATTTTTCCAACAATAGTAAATGCATACATAAATATATAAGCAATATGCATACATATGGATGGAAAATAATATCATATGTATCCATTTTTGGGTATAAAAATATATGTATGAGGAAATATAGAAATATTATATGTGAGAATATAAATGTATAGATGAAGTGTTTTATGTGGCAACGAGGGTGTTTTTGAAGGTATCGTGCCAACCGGGGTATTTTATTACTCCCTCCGTCCTATAATGTTCTTTCCGGTTCTGTTTACGAAGTTTGACCGACTTTATTTTTAATTCAATTTATTTGATTGTAGGTGTAAAATTAAAAAATAAAAGTTAAATATTTAAAAACTACATCAAAAGTTCTACAAAACAAGTGGTGACAAGACTATATTATTTTATCAAATACCTAATGAAAATAGGTAAAGAAAGTGATTAAAGTTTGACCGTGTGAATAGTAAGTGGGAAGAACATTTCAGGACGGAGGGAGTATATATTTGGAGAGTGGTTCTACAAATACATGAAGTAGGCTTAGAAGTCATTAATGAAACTCAAAATTAAAGAGGAAGAATGAGAAATTGGACATGTTTGGGAATAGCGTTAGAGATTAGCGTTAGCGTTTTGGATAAGATTTTAACGGTGCAGATTACTTTGAAAACGCTGGCCGTAGATAGTTTTTTCAAAACGCTAACGCTAATCTCTAACGCTATTCCTAAACAGGCCCATAGTATATAAAGAGAGTATTATTAGAGTAGTGGTGAAGTGGAGTATCTCTGATCCCGTATGGTTCCCCTCTATGGGTGACTTTGCCTCCTTATATATTTATGAAAAATTACCTAAAAAAATAATTCTTCGTCCCAAATTAATGGCAAGGTTCTGTTGACACTGGCATTTAGTGTCAACGAAATCTTGCGCAAATTAATCTTCTCAGTTATTATTATAGCCTTTCGAAAACTTATATATGTATTATATGCATATTTTCATTGATCATTTGATAAAATAAAATATTATTGTCACCTCTTATTTTGTAGAATGCTGAAATGGTTTTGAACTATGTAATTTTTTTAAATTTTATATCAATTTATAAATAAAATAATTTTAAAAAAGATAAGAATTTTCACGTTCTTCCAAATGAAAAGAATAACTTGGGAAGGGAGCACTATAGTTTTAGTTTCCTTAACTAGCATATAACTAATTAACTAATAATTATTAATTTAAATGTATCAAAATGCTCTTTTAATAATTTTAGGTTTATTCTAACCGTAATTCATATTCTTACTGCCGCCCCATCACAACCAGCCACCGTTCATCATAACCCTATCACCTCCACTGCCATCGCCACCACAAAACGCACTCCTCTTTGTTATTGCCCTAACGCAAGAAAACAAACACCAAAATTTACGTGGAAACTCCAAAATTTACGTGGAAACTCCAAATTGTGGGAAAAATCACGGAACAGTATGCTCAGTACCAAACACCTTTCGCTAATCACCAAAAAGTTGAGTGGGTATAACCAACAATCATCTCTAAGTGAATTAGAGACACACACAATCTTCAAGCAAGAACTTGGAATACCAAACAACAAAAATCTTCACTCAAAAAGTGAAAACTACTGCAAAAAACGCAGAAGAAAAACAGAGACAATTTTACCATTGATGGTGTAAATTACTTGACCGGTCAAACTATACTAGACCGGGTCTAGAATAGTTCGCTTGATTTGGCAAAGTAAGAAAGGTAAAAACACGCAAATTGACCGGTAGGACTTTAGGTGGAACACCTGTAGCCCAATTTATATTATAACGGAGAATGCACGGGTGCTTTTACAAGGGAGTTTAGAGAGAATGAATTCGGATCCCTCTTTCTGAGGTTTACATGAGTATTTATACTAGGCTAAGGGGACAGGACCACGTGCGCCCACGTGGGGGCATGCTGCTGATGTGGTGCGAGGTGACTGGTTTCGTCCTCAAGCTGCCTTGTCGCCTTGTGAAGGGGATCATTCCCTTTGTCAAGTAGTGCTTTGGATGGATTCTCCAGCATCTCCATTTGTCCTCTACTGACACGGGTCGCTACACGCCAAGCCCTCGCAGATCCTCCTCTGCCGACACTTTCCAACCCCAGAAACTACACCGGGTAATCTCCGAGGGATGAATTCATCGAAGTCTGGAACAAATAGGATGACAACGTAGTTTGACCGGTATACTTTTTGTGAAGTGTACCGGTCATATTTTGGCCGATGATATATTGTTTTGCTGACGATTTAAGTCTCCCTTCCAAAACT